AACCACTAAAGGGAAAGTAAGTAAAATTTGCCTTTTCATGGCCATAACACGTCATTTTAGGTCGAACTTTCAGCACTCCCCCGACAAATTAGACACATCGAACAACGCTTGAAATACGAAGAAGGAACTCCCCAATCAACAATAGGGAAGAACTCCGAAATACCATGGAAATCATCGCTGTGCAATGACTGTTGAGATGGAGCTACGTGACGGATGGTAAATGAAGAGTATCGACTGCTTAAATCTTTACCATGATCACCCTCTATCTGGCTGCTCTATTTTTCCCGTGTGAGTAGCAGGAGAGGTTGGTCCCCCTTCACGTTTCCTCCCACATCTCTATCCCATCATTCTTACAGCGACTCACGAACTCAGCGGAGTCGATCCGCTTGTAATTGATTAGTTGGCTTCGTATATCATCATCTTGTATATAATGCACTCTTTTATATATGTACGTAATGAGTGGATGATGTTGTAGACCTAAAAAAGGGCTTACGGCCCTTCTTCAGGTCTACAACATCATCCACTCATTACGTACATATATAAAAGACCTCATTAGGCCCGAAACGTCGTCCAATAAAGCTTTTGGAAGAGCTTCATTTTGATCAACAACAAAGACATCGAACATTATAAACACTTCATTCCATCTAAGTATTGCGTATTTACAGCTCAAAATCCATGGATTTGGTGTGCGGCGGCGGCGCTCGCAAAATCGCTCTGGTCCCACGCGGTGCAAAAACCAAAACGCGCGATGTCGTCAACGTGTTAAACACTGGTGACAAGAGTGCTCCCAGGAAATGAACCCTAATGCCGGGAAGCACCAAATCAGCGAAAAAAGACGCCAAAAAAAGATTTCTATGGGGAAAATGATGTACTTTGCTTGCCTAACCGATTGCTTATTGTCTCTAAGCCCAACAAAACCCACTCGCCCAAAGGAAGAACTCTGGAATGAGCTCGGAAAAAATTGATTTTGCCCCTCCAGAAATTATGAATAGATCTTTTTCATCGATGATATCTTTCGGCACTAGCTGAAAGATCACCGTTTTCATTGAAAAAAAGAGCACTCGCTAAGAAAAGCACTATCAAAATCCCTCGAAAAAGACAATTGTTGTGAAAGATGTGCACAGACAATGCACACCATATACATACTACATATAATTTAGGTACCCCTGGGACAAACTATTGCAAAGAACTTGGAAGAAGCGGAATCAAACCCTTGGGGTGTCGAACAGCATTGGGTAGCATTGTCGCCAATGTGTTGAAAAAACTATGGCTCAGAGTTGAATCAGAAAAACCAGATTTGAGGAGAAACACGACACCTTTTGGACAATCCAGGAACGGAATCTTTGGAAGAGGTAGACTTGGAACCGCAAGTGGAGAGTACACAATTGATTAGTTTGTGGTAGGAAAATAGAGTGACAATGAGATGGCCGCCAGTTTGGCTATTTTCGACTAGAATCAAAACACTGTTTCGTGGAGCAGGTAGATCTCTATTAAAGAAGACTACGGAGAGATCATGGAGACTATGTAAAAGCAATGAAATATAAGTGCAAAAATACCATTCAAAAAACGGCTTACCTAAGAGACAACCCAGACCCCACCTGAAGTCAAAACCACGTAGAAAATGGAGAAGCCTTCCTTGGACAAAACGAAATGCGCAGTCAAACAAGAACTGTGGACCGTGCGACTGCGTAGGATTAACGCTGGGGAGAAGAGTCAGTTGCAGATGAAAAGAGTATAGCGGACGAGACAGTTTGATCGGTGAGAAAAACAGCTCGAGATAAGCATTTTTGCACGGAGGCTTTGGAGCGAGTGGAAAACATAAATAGTTGAGTGCAATCTGCTCGGGATTTTTCGCAAGCGTCTCAATGTGATAATGACACACTTACCCCAACAACAACTAAGGCCGATGTCAGACTTTGCGAATCGCGCGATTCGCTACTAGCGATTCGCGCGATTCGCTAGCGTCCGCGGTCGCGTTGCGGTACCAGCCAATTGTAGTGATTCTACTAAATTCGACGCTACCGCAGACGCGCGAATCGCGCGAAAGTCTAAC